TTCATCTTAATCTCCACTTCATATCCCAGTATCTCAGAATTTTCTTCCCCAAACTATGGTATGCAAGAGGGGAGAAGACAGCAAATCTTCATTTCCTCAGCAATAGGAGAAGAGAGCTCTAAGGGTATAAAAAGAAGAAGAAAACTCTTCACTGAAAATATGATAAGATTAGTACACAACATTATTTCACAGGGTACTCATTAGTTGTCTTGAGACTAACCAGGATTTTCTATAATAAATTTTATTTCTCTTTTTAAATAAATATTACATTCGTCTACAGAACAGAATGCAGTTATATTTTAGTGTTCACCTTTTTTTTTTTTTTTTTTTTTTTTTGTATCAATGCAACCATGGCTCTGGGACATTTTAGATTAGAAGTAGAAATGATAATTAACATTTTCTAAATTATGATTATCCTCAACATGGCATGATTGTCAATACACTGTGGTAGAGGGTGGTATGTAATGTGCAGATGGATAGAAACTAGTCAAAAGTAATAGATCTCTGCAAGATGACACTTTAATCTAATACTCTGTAATAGCAAAGTTCAGTACATACATAAAGAATAGTTAGGCATATACAAGAAGTATCAAGACATTTGATACAAGAAGTGTCAACAGTCTAGACATTTGTAGTTATAAGGCAGGTGAACTGCAGAGATAGACCAGCAGATTTTCCTTTTAAAATGTTAGCCAACTTTTGTACTTTTATTTTAAATCAGATTTTATACAGGTTTAAACCAGATGTGTAAGCATGATGAAAACTCAATACCCTCCTGCTCATTATTATAAATGGAATAACACACTAAGGTATTTTGTAGATACAATTATTCTTGTAGGGCTACAATAATATCAGTCCAAATTATGTGCAGTACATAAAAATGATTGTTGTTTAACTTGCATTAATTATTTGCATTCACTTCAGTTTTTCACATATGAATTAATCACATAGAGATAAATAAGAAATCTATACATAATGACCTAGAGTAGATAATTTTCAATCTCACTTTTTCATGATAGGAAAGTTCATATGGAATGCCTACCTAGAAAAGCCAAGCACAGGCTTGGGATAGCTGTCTTCTTCCCTATTTCAGCCTCTTCTCTATATCAATCTTTTGTCCCTTTAACCTTGGCTTGGCATGGCGCTGCTATTTTTCATTTTGTGTCAAACTCTTCTGTTCCTGGGAGATGAATCACTTTGGGTAACTGAACTCTTAAAGAACTGAGCTACTCCTGTCTTCATCAGTTTATCAGATACTGGGGCTGGCGATTAGCAATAACAAATACAATTATATGCTCATTTAACAAATTGTTAATCCTTCATATTTAAACTTAGATTTTCAAGACTTTTTTTTCGTTTTTTTTTTTTTTTCTGCTTCTGTTCTTTTGAACAATCATCTGTATGTAAGACTCAATGTATATGATTTATATGTGTGTATGTTTGTGTTTGTGTGTGTGTGCATCTGGGTAAATCAGAGCACAAGGTGGAACTGCATTATTCACTTAGATTTATTCTTTGGAATGATCATGGCAGAAATATCTTAAATGTGTAGGAAAAGTCACTACAGGTAAACTTTAATATTATGAACCATGGGCACTCATCAATAATGTATTCTTTCCTTTCCTTTTTAAGGACTCGGCTATTTCTTTCCCACTGTATGAGCTCAAAATTTGTTTGTTGAGGTGAAAACATATACCCTGGAAACAGAATATCACAATTTTTAGAAGCATCTAAGTACATTTTACTTTATCTAATTTTATTCAACAGATGTTTTGATAGGTTAATTAACTAATTGCTTTCTGAAAACTAGCAGCATAAGAATTGAGAAAGTAGATTGTTTATCTGGGCTGATAACTAACAGATTTTCTGGAAACTACTCTCAGGCAGTTTCTGAGAACCTTTCTTCAAAGCCTTGATAGAAGGCAGCTGGCCTTTGAAAACGCAGTATCTGAAGTATGCTGTAAACTCACAGGCACCTGTAGGCACAGATGATCCATCTATAATGTGAATTACTGGGGACAGACATTCTTGCATTTTTTAGTTCTGAGATTTACAAGAAAGGAAGGTCCCTTTGAGCAGGAGCACACAAGGTCAGTATCGCCTGCAAGTCCCTTATTTTAGGGACTGTGCCACTGGTGTGAAAGTATTTAGTTGGGGAAAGTACTTCTAAAAAGAGGAAGAGGTTTTGGTAGCCTAACAGCCTTAGCTTTTGCTCTATATATGTTTTTGTGTGATAGGTTCTCACTAAAAAAAACAAAAACAAAAAAAAATTACTTAAAAGTGCTGTATTTCACTCAGAGTTAACATATCTGTGATTTTTTTATCTAACAGAACTCAGAGCTAGATGCTTGGGGAAATGTCTTCAGCAAATTCATATGAATAAGAAAAACTGGGTTTTGACAGATTTACTGATGGAATATAAAAAGGGACCTGAAGGAGGCAACAATTTTGACAGATTTTGATGGGGGGTTGAGGGGGTCAAAATTTTGAAAGTTTTGTGAAAAGTCAAATTTTTACCTCCTCGTCATTACGACAGCCACTGAGCTAGTATTAAATAACAGTGGGGTGTAATCCATGATACTAGTATATTTCAGGGCAATAGTAGAATGTATTTAAAAAACAAGGTTCCCACGCTGAGAGTATATAAAAAGCACAAAGTTTCAAACATGCATCATAATGTACAATTGTTTTCATTAATATTTGATGTATTTATTTTTAAAGAAAATAATGGTACTTGATTGTTGAAAAAATTAAAGCAATAAAATTTCAGATATATACTCCCTACCTCTCAGTCAGCTAAAGAAATAAATGTTCGTTTGTACATGTAATGTTCCAGATTTTGTTCTTAACCATATTAATATATTTCAGACAATATGATAGATTGGATCTTGTATTGCATTTTCACTGGATAAAATACTGTTTGCTACAATGTTGCCACCTTTTTTGGTTTGCTACATTTTATCTTTTTCACTCCTAATCTCAGCCTTTTAAATTAATAGGTATTAAGAGTCAAGTATAATGTCACCCTCTACAATTTATATCATGAATATACAATTCTAATCATGTGTATGCACAGATATATTTGTATCAAGTTACTTATAAAGGTCTATTCTACTGTTTAGGTTCCCAGCAACTCCCTTTTCATGTTTCACTATAAACTATTGACAGAGACAGGAGACAACCAAATGCTTCCCAGGTGATTGTGCACAGGAGGCTTGCCTAAACATGCCCATGGTGAAAAATTCTGTAGTTTAACACATGCGAGTAAGGGAAATAAATCAATGTGGAGTGGTTCAAACTAAGGACCCACTTGCTCACTGGGAGAATGGGATGGAACCACCAGGAATTTGTGCCTTAAGCAGTGGGGAGGAGCCTGGCTTCTTCAGCTCGTGTGTGGCAGCCTGGTATTCAATCTGTGACATGGGAGCCTGTCAGCACGTGCCCTCTTTTTTTGCCGAGAGCTTTCTTTTAATAAATTCTGCTTTCCTCACCTTTCAAAGTGTCCACGTGACTAATTTTTCCTGGTCATGAGACAAGAACCCAGATTTTAGCTGAGCTAAGGAGCAAAACGTCCTGCATCATAATGAATATCCTCCTGGAGCAAAAGAGAAAAGGATAATTCTCTTTATTAGATGTATCCTATTCCATAGTATATGTGTAATAAAATTTATTAAGATGGTTATTAAACTCAATTATTATTATTCTTTCATTGCCATTGCAAACTTAGTACATATTGCCTTACATACTGATGCTTTTAATTCTATAGGATAGATTTTTGAAGGGTAGGATTGCTATGATATAATTACATAATGTATTTTCATACTACATTCCCCAAACTATATACAGTCATTAATCTCCTAGAAGAATATATTAGTTCTTCTAGGACTCACTCACATTCTTGCCAGACTTTGATGTGGTTATGTATAAATTTCACTCTCAAATGTGAAAATACATCTTCTTATTTATCCTTATTCAGTGTCAATATATGTCCAATTAAGAAAAATCATTAGTAAGCATAAAAATATTGTTGGGTATTGGTTACATTAAACCATATAAGCTTGATTTAAAAATTAATTTGCTTCCTGTAGAAAACTTTATAGTATCTTTTGAAAAAGAAATGTACAAAGGTAAAACTAAGAATAAACAGTTTTACTATGAAATACTGAGGCTGATTTGTAAAATATATCATTTATGCTTATTGAAATAATGCCCATTTCTTCTTTGAAAACTGCTCTAAGAAATTATTAGTACCAGAAAGATTTTCAGGTTAATACTTCTGTTAATTTGATCATTTCAAGCTTTTCATTAGTCCTCATATAAACATCCTCACATCACTTTAATTATTCTAAAAATTACTTATAAATGCTTTTACTAAATTATTCTATAGCAAGAGACTCCTAAATGGGATGACTAAACTCTTTATTTGGAGGATCATATCAAAAAGAGTTTCTCTAGTGTTTAGACTGCATTTTCTGTTCCTCACCATGCTAGTCTCATTATAAATGCACATAATTCATCAACTTTATTAATAGCAACATTTAGACCTAACATGGTTTGGTGCAGACAATGCTTGGTGTTCACACCACATTTTGGGGGCATAGAGAATACATTCGCAGTCCTCTCTTGCAATAATATGTGGAGCAAGTGAAGTAATATTGTATTGACGACTAGAAGGTGGACAGAAGCCATGAAACTAAGGCAAGCCACTTCAAGGCTTGGCTACTTAAACACCTCGCAACCATCCAGCTTCCTTTCTCTTCTGTGGCTACCTTGAAGCCCTGTATTCCAAATGGCAAGGTATAAGAAGGAAGGGCACTCTGAGGTATGTAGGGGACAGGTGTATGTGAGAGATATATTTTTAGTGTGTTAATCTTTTAAGAATTGGGGTTTTATATGTTACTTCAGTACAGTCTATCTATTTTGACTAAGACATATTGTTTGGAATATCTTTGAGAGTCTGACTTATTTTTGTCTCAAACCTCATGTCTTTAACTCCTCAGCCTACATCACCAGGACTTGAAGGACAGCAGCACATCTTCAGTGAGTACCTACTATGAGGTAATCACTACCTCACACTTTGCTTCTCATGATAAGTTGCCATCATGTATTACTACTTATAGTGTTTTGAATATCCATTTTTGTTCTATTTTTTTCTACACTAGTCTCTATCTAGAACATTCATATTGTCTTTCACTTCTATATCATTTATTCTTTTGCTGCTATTACTTTTATTTATTATATACTGGGATGGGGTTGGGACAAAATAATAACCAAACCTAATAAAGCAGTAATAACCAAACATAATAAAAATAAAATATAACAAAACTGTTTTCCTGAGAATCTTACTGTAACGCTATAGGATAAGTTCAGTACCTGTTTGGGGGCATTATGAAAAATTCCATAATAGTACTCTTTACATCTCATTTAATTATCTGGGTTTTCATGAGAGCAGTGACCATGTCAATCTTGTGTATGCCTGTGGAAAATACTTGGCAAAAAATAGACTTTCCATAAAAATGAGTTGATTCATAAATTACTTTTTATTTGCAAAGATATGAAACCTCAGCATGTAGTTGTTTTTGAGTAGTTTGCTTCTGCAAAATGATTCCATTGATATATCACTTCACAGAGAACAGTAATAAGAAATAAACTGATGAACTGGGAACTATTTCTTTCTTTACAAACTGGCAGAGTTATGCTTTTATATTTTTCTTTAATACCTAAAATTATGTTTACAGTGATAAATATGTTTATTCACTGTAATAATTTTTCAAGAAATATTTTATTCAAAAATCTGAAAATTCATTTTATAATCATAAATTCTGTCTCCACAATTTAAAATAACTAATTGGAAAGTACTGAGTGAATCATTAACTTTTCGGTACAGTGTCAAAAAAGTTCTGATTTTCTTCATAATGCATGCTCTACATAAACCATATGTGTATTAAAAGTTGGTAAAAATTTGTTTTTCTGAAAAAAAATTGTCAAGGATATCTATAAAATATTGTTTGGTTAAAGCAAAAACCTCTAAATTCTTATAATCAAGACCCCTGTAGAAAATAAGGACAAAGGAAAACACACATGATACACACAACACATGGTCACACACACACTCTCATCTACCACTTAATGGTTTACAATATCTGTTAGCAAGGCTCCAGAGGATAGAGGACTAGCTCAGAATAATTAGGGCTTCAAAGTCCTTATCTAGGTTTTTCAGACCATTCAGAGTAGATGTCCTTGTCAGATAATTCCATCTATGACAAACTAGTCAGAGACTAGAAAAGGGCTGCCTTTAACAACAACAGCAACAACAACAAAAAAGCCAACTACGTATAGTACAGCTAAATGGAAAAGCAAGCACACTTTTCAAAGTGTGTATCTGTCACAAAATGTCTTTTCTGAGACTTCTCCTAAATGCTAGGAACCCAGTTGCCCTTTTACCTGACTGCTCTGCCCTGCCTGACAATTTACTGGACTACTAGTTTCATAAGGATGCTAACTGGGCCCTTCCTCTGTTATTTGGATTCATTATGAACAACTGACACTTGAGTCTGCAATTGACTTACTTCTTAGACTTCAATAGTTTTTTTTTTTTTTTTCCACATGAATACATTATAGTTGATCCAACATGTTTTCAATGACAGAAAATGTGAGGTAAAAGACCATTAAAGGCACTACCTTATTTACTGTATTCATCAAGTTTTATCTCTAGGGCAAATTATTTTACCTCCTGAGGGCACACATCTGACAACAGGCAGCACCCTGTTTGTGTTCTGATTTGCTAGAAACACACCGATGTTTAATGATGTCTGAGTTGCCACAAAAGGCATTTCCATAGTCACTGCACGAGTAGGGTTTTCATTCTGCATAAGTTCACTTGTAAGGAAGGAGCTGTGACTCTCCATTACAGGAATTTTCAACTTGACTGATTCTACCCATTTCTCTTGTGTGCATCTTCTTATGTTTGACAAGGTTTGATGAGTAGAAGGAGGCTTTCTCACAGTCAGTGCATCCATAGGGTCTCTCTCCTGTATGCGTTGTTTGATGTACATTGAGTACTTTGTGGTGAAGCCTTTTCCATATTTGTTGCACTCATAAGGTTTCTCTCCTGTGTGAATTATCAGTGGATAATGAGACTATATTTGTGTGAATAGGACTTTCCACACTCAGTCCATACAAAGCGAGTCTTTCCTGTATGACATCTCTCATGTTGTATGAGCCATATTTTCTGGATGAAGGCTTTACCACATTCATTGCATTCATCAGGTTTTCTCCTGTATGAGTTCAGTGATATATAATAAGAGTGTACTCTGTGGTGAAATCTTTACCACATTAACTGCATATGTAAGATTTCTTTCCTGTGTGAGTTCACTGATGTATAATGAGAGTGCATTTGACAGTGAAGCCTTTTCCACATTCGCTGCATATACAAGATTTTTCTCCTGTATGCTGATGTACAATGAGGTTGCTCTTCACAGTAAAGCCTTTTCCACATTCACTGCATATATGGGGTATCTCTCCAGTATGGGTTTGCTGATGTACAACAAGGTAGTGCTTCATGGTGAAGCCTTTTCTACATTCACTGCATATATAGGGTTCCTTCTCTGTATGAATTCGCCCATATACAATGAGATTGATCTTCACAGTGAAACCTTTTCCACATTCATTGCACACATAAGGTTTCTTTCCACTACAAGTTTGCCAATGAGCAATTAGATAGCGCTTCATTGTAAAGCCCTTTCCACACTCACTGCACATATAGGATTTCTCTTCTGTGTAAGTTTATTGATGTGCAATGAGAATACACTTCACAGCAGAGCCTTTTCTATATTCATTGTGTATACAGATTTTGTCTCTTGTATTAGTTTTCAGAAGCTTAGTGAACAGGACACTTCTGGACAATTTCTCACATTGACCACTTCCAGGATTCTCTTCTATATGAATGTTCTCGTGGTAAATGAGCTGAGACTTCAGAGGAAGGTTTGCTCACATTCAATGAATGCATGGGGTTTCTCAATTTTCTGAGTCCTCTGATGCTTAAAGACTTGGAATTTAGAATGGATCCATTTTGCATTTTCAGAAAATCTAGTTTTGGTATTCGTACGTTCATACTTACCATGTAGAAGGGTTTTCGCACCTCCAATAAACTCAACAAGGTTATTTATTCCATGTTTTCTCTTCTGGTTGATTAAACTTAAACTTGATTTCAATTTTTTTTCTGTACATGTCAAATGTATTGTGATTTTGCGCTAGAGGAAAATGTGTCTTGCTGAGATGTACAATATTTCTAAATGCATTCTGTCCACTGCATTGCTGCATGCTCTTCAGAAATCATTGGTTTGAAGAGCGCTCTTGCAGATGACTGTCAACTTTCCTGATTCCTGGACAATTTTTATTCTGGATTTTAGCATCTGTTATCCATGGTTCTTGTCCATGTGCCAACCTGGAGAGTGCATCTTGTTTGCTAGTTTGATACCCCAGTGATACCAAGTGGTTATAGTTCTCCACCATCACATCCTGGTACAGGTCCTTCTGAGCAGTGTTCCAGGAGCTGCCACTCCTCCCAGCTGAATTCCACAGCCACATCCTCCAGGGTCAGTTATTCCTGGGTCTTGATCATTTTCTTCTGTGCTCAGAAAATAGTGGATAACATGGACAATACATCTTTGTCTCTTCTGCATTTGCCATGAAGTTTTCCTAGTCAGAAATATTAGTGTCCAGGTAAAGTTGTCCCCAGAAATGATGATATCCAAGGCCAGCAACCTCCTCCTTCTTCCTTCATTGCTTCACTTGAGTTCTCTTGCTTCTGTGAGCCGGGAATTGAGGGCTGTGCTGGAACCTCTCCAAACACTACTGGCAGCCACAAAACGCCGCATCCACGTAGGAAACCGCTTCCTATTCAGACGCGCTCCTGCACGGCCTAAGGGACGCTGAGCGGTGACAACGATGGAGTGATGGAGTCAGGCAAGGGCCACGGAGCTCGCCGGGGATCGACTGCCGTCGCTGCTCTGCGGGTCACACGGCTGCCTCCACCACAGTGTTTCTGACAGAAGCGGCCATAATGGCTGTGGAAATCACTCTTGACCACCTCAATGCCTTTCTCTCTTCGTTGCGAGGGACACTCAACAGCTCTGGGCTAACCACGTAAGCTTTAAAAGTCAGATGCCCAGCCAAGGCCAACACAGCGCAGTGGCATTCTATTCAGCCGGCTGGGGGAAAAAAGATGGCGGTGCCCTTTATTCCAATAGTTTTAAAGCACATAATTTAATTTGTATCTGGATGACCCACAGCCACCTATACTGTGAGTGACTTATATGCAACTGAAACATATCTGCAGTTTTATATATTGGTATGCTTAAAAATATATGTTGTTTGGCTTAAAAACAAGATAGTTCTTGTTAGAGTATTGCACTTGAGTTGTTATCAATATCCTATAAAATTTGTGATATAAAACATAGGCACATAAATATTGCTTTAGAAATAGAGTTTTATATCACTGAGAACACATTTTGGAAACTTTGCTATGAGATTCTTTCAAGTAAAGATCCATATATTGAAGATTCCTTAATTTGACTTAGTGTGACAAAAAGCAATGGCAATATAATATTCTAAAATGACTTTGGAATCAAGAAAAATTGAACTTGAGATAGAGTAATACATCACAAAATAATCAAAAGAGACATTAAAATATAGGATAACAGATAGTATCTAGAAGAAGATGCAATGAAATAAATCATCTTTACTATAATATTACAAATGTACTAGGTAATAACATATAAACACATATTACTTTTTTTTTTTTTTTTTTTTTTTTTGCTAAGGAGTAGGATTTTAACAGAAGTACAGGAAATGAAAAAAATAACTGATAAAAGTCATGAAAGATTGATTGCCATAGAAAAGTAAGTATGATTTTCTTGAACATTACCAAATAAGAAGGGTATTATCAGTATGCTGTTGTAACATGATGTCCAGACTGCCTGCAAGACTCAGCCCTGTGCAAGAGAGCAGACGATTAGAAATAGGAGACAGCTGTTGGAATATTGAACCAGAAAGTGATGCCAAGA